ACACACACACAAAGAGACACACACACACAAAGAGACACACACACACACACAAAGAGACACACACACACACACACAAAGAGACACACACACACACACACACACAGACACACACACACACACACACACACACACACACACACACACACACACACACACACACACAAAGAGACACACACACACACACAGAGACACACACACACACAAAGACACACACACACACACAGAGACACACACACACACACACACACAAAGAGACACACACACACACAAAGAGACACACACACACACACAAAGAGACACACACAAAGAGACACACACACACAGAGAGACACACACACACCCACACACACAAAGAGACACACACACACAAAGAGACACACACACGAGACACACACACAACGAGACACACAAACAGTTAATATTTCAGTAGTGTGTGTGGACTCGAGGAGTTTCCCCGAACTAGAGGAGTTGAGATGTAAACGATGCTGTGTCATTAGAGTCACCTATTATTCTGTTTCTCCTGAGTTAGGATGAGATGGCAAAATCACTCCCTCACTTCCCTGAGTTAGGATGAGATGGCAAAATCACTCCCTCACTTCCCTGAGTTAGGATGAGATGGCAAAATCACTCCGTCACTTCCCTGTTGGCGAGCCGCCTGCCCTCTGCTAGCCGCCCTCAGACTGACTTAAAGTTCCCTGTTGGCGAGCCGCCTGCCCTCTGCTAGCCGCCCTCAGGACTGACTTAAAGTTCCCTGTTGGCGAGCCGCCCTGCCCTCTGCTAGCCGCCCTCAGGCTGATTTAAAGAGACAGTGCAACATAGTGGCAAGACAAAGTATGTGAACCCTTTGGAATTACCTGGATTTCTGCATAAATCGGTCATAACATTTGATCTGATCTTCATCTAAGTCACAACAATAGACATACAGTCTGCTTAAAAACTAATAACACACCAAACAATTAGACGTTTTCATGTTGTTGATTTACTTCTGTGTTTTGGGTTACTTTTTCTTACCACTGTATTTGAACAGCTAGTAGGCGTAATGATATCAAATCAAATTGTATTCATCACATGCTTCGTAAAACAACAGGTGTAGGCTAACAGTGAAATGCTTCCTTACGGGGCCTTCCCAACAATGCAGAGAGAAAAAAAATAGAGAAATAAGAGAAGCAGATGTTCGTCTGTGAGAGGAGGCTAGGGCTGCAGAAAGTATTTTAGCAGTGAGAGGGGCTTGGGCTGCAGAAAGTATTTTAGCAGTGAGAGGGGGGGCTTGGGCTGCAGGGTGGGTTCATATAGCTCAGTCGGTTCACCTGGGCAGTACAAAAACGTTTTGGAACGTTGCAGATAGAAGTGCCATGAATAGAACTGACAGAAACTGTTGAAATCCCACTGTGCATGCATTAGACTGCAACATTTCATTGGGGGCATACTTATATGCACTGTACAGCCTTACCTATGGACTGTGCACCCATGCAGAGTTTACACAAATATTAGCATCTTAGCTCTATTGCAGGACTCTTAAACCACTGTGAAATGAGCCACATTAGCTCACCAGTCAACGCACTATGTGTATTGAACGTTCAAAGCTAATTGTGGCTCATTTCACAGTGGTTTCAGAGTCCCGCAATAGAGCTAAGATGCTCATATTTGCGTTCTATCTGTGGTTACATATTGGATGCTGGTTCCTGATCTTTTGAAAACATCAACTGAAAAGTCATCTGAAGCTTGAGAGGAATGGGAGATGCAGTAGAGGATTTGCGGTGCTGAGGCAGAGAGCTGCTACTCTGAACTGTGTGTGATGAGCTTTCTGGCACCCAGAGCTGCTGAGGCAGGGACGGCCTGTTCAATAGGGCGATATGGGCGACGCACTGCCAAACGGGAAAAGGAAGGGATTTTTTTTCTAATCAATTATATCACGGCAACAGTAGTTATCAGTGTTGTAATCTATACGTCTGATCTGCCACAGTGCCACACTGCCACTAAATGTCGAATCAGGCTAAAGTCGTGCTTCAAATGGCTCCACCCCCTTTTGGGGCGATTTCAGTCAGATTGAAAATCGCCCAGAACTTCTGTCATAGACTCCCATGTAAAATCTATTTTTTTCAAATTTCAGAGCCTTCAATACAATCTCAATGGGTGTCTGTGGGCTTGCACTTACGCGCTTTCGTCATACGTTACGTAACCATGAACGTAACTGAGAAAAGAGTGGATTGTTTGAAAGAAGTTCCTTTTTGTCGTCGAACAAATGAAGATAAATTGGCAACGAAACAATTAGGACCTCCCAGACCAAATTTAATAATTCAACAGGTTTCTACTAAAGGCGGAAAGTCCTACACCCGAGGATTTTCCAAAAATTGGTACGAACGAAAAAAGACATTGCCACTCACTCAACTGGATGACGAGGGATACAGGCTAGCTGTCCGCCGCCACAACGATGAGGTTAGTGTTGATAATCACAAGTTTACTGGATGTGGATATGGTGTAATAAAGGCAGTTTATTCAGAGGTAAATATATCTGGAATCGCGTTCACGGACCCGTTCGTCAAACTCTTAGGGAGCTATAAATTAAGCCCCATTACTTACCATATCAGATAAGAGAAATTGCTGCAGCTACATATATTTTACATCCTGGCCCTACATAGTTCACTATTTGCATCACTTACCAAAATATTACATGTGGTCATATATGCTTGGAAAGTGGAGATGCCATAGAACGTCAAAAAAGTAAACATTGCTGGAGACACATTGCCGTTTTGGAGAAGACATCGCGTTTGCTAGCGAAGAGATTTGTTGTGGCAAATGAACTTGGGCTGGGAATTGCGAGGAACCTCACGATAAGATATATGCATCAGCATTGCGAGTCTCATGATTCTATACGTATTGCGATTCGATACTGTGATTTTATTGCGCACCATATGTCTGTTGCAGAGGGATCAGAAAGCCATGAGAACGAGTTTTGATCAGTCATGGAAATAAAAGTGCTGAAAACAAATTGGCTCCCAATGTGAAAAGATTGAGAACAAGCTATGAAGGAACAATAATGGTGTTTTGGTGCAGGTACAGCCAACTAGCGCTAAAATATTGCGATATTGTCAATACAGTATATCGTAAAGTATCACTATGTAACTCGATTTCTTTCACCCCAATCCCTCAAATTAACGGTAAATAACTGAATTGTTTGCCCCACATTTAGCTAAGATGATTAGCTAGCCAGCTAAAATGTTTTAGTTAGTTAGCAGTCGCATCTACAATAGTTTACTGTCAATAACATGTCTCCAAAAATGACGTGGTGTCTCCAATTGTGTTGACATTTTACAATTGCAATGCGCATCCATGAGTATCCACTTTCTGTAGCTCAGCTGGTAGAGCATGGTGCTTGTAACGCCAAGGTAGTGGGTTCGATCCCCGGGACCACCCATACACAAAAATGTATGCACGCATGACTGTAAGTCGCTTTGGATAAAAGCGTCTGCTGAATGGCATATTATTATTATTATTATTATTATTATTATTATTATCTGAAGAGAGCCCCGAAACATTGTGTGCAGACATTTTATGCAATAAATGAAGTAGGTTCAATCTAGTAGTTCTGATCTTCTGATTGGTCCTGATGAGTTGGGCGAGGTCCCCTGCAGGCTACTGTCACTGTTGCATTGGCTCTGAGTCGGGTTCTCTGTCTTCAAATGTTCAGCCTAAGAGAGGGGATTTTTGTGTGTGTGTGTGTGTGTGTGTGTTTAACAGTGATGATGTGTGTGTGTGTGTTTAACAGTGATGATGTGTGTGTGTGTGTGTGTTTGTGTGTGTGTGTGTCCTCAGAGCAAGAACTCGTGAGTTGGAAGAACTGAGAGGCCTATGGCGTGGGTGTTGTCCTTGGCCACCTGCTGACAAGGCTGACAAGATAGGACCCTTTTGTCCATTGTTATTGGATAGGAACAGAACTTATAACCAGCTCCTGACCTAAATAGATCTTAGCACAACATTTTACTCAACATATCATATTCCATATTCACTATAACAAATATATTTACTACGACATTAGCAAGAACCGCCACATCCTCAGCCGGCTAATCCAGTGTGTGAAGTTTTGCGGAGTGTTTGAGTTAGCTTTGCGAGGCAAAGATGAAACTGAGGGCTCCACCAACCCTGGTAAGCCAACACTTTTGAGATCAGTCAATAAATGCTTCTGGTATTGACTTATATGCTGCCCCTGTCTTCATGTTGTTGCTGGACATATCTTTTTTTAAATGTGTGTAGGTCACCTAAATCATCAGAAAAATTGCCCCTCCTGAGAATTTTTTCAGGAGCCGCCACTGTGCTGAGGTATCACCCAAGTGGGCGCCAGACATTGTGAAGGAGGAGAAGTCCAGTAGCTAGATGACTCAGGCTGGTTCCCAGAGTAGCGCTCTACATGATCGTCACCAGACTCCATCTTCATCAACCATCTCCCTGACCACCTTCCTCTGATCAAGCCATGAACCTGTCCTTCCATCTTTGGAGGATGCATGCGCTCAAAGACTTGGCCTCTATTGGTTGACCTAGACAACTATAGGCTACTCATGATGAATTGCTTATTGTTGTTTTTTGCTTTTGATGTGCTTTGAGATAGTTATGAAAAGCGCTATATGCATTTAATAAATAATAATAATAATTATTATTATTATATTGCAGCTTAAAAAAAAAAAGTTACACGTACGTGCTGACGTTTCATCACGCAGGCTACGTTGTGTCGAGCGTGGTGGAACGAGAATGCGCCTCAACCAATGGAAACGTGTGTTGGGCGCAGCTGCCCCGCCCTGTTCCATGTGCGGCGGCGAGGGTGGTTGAATATAAAACCGTCGCTCTCCGTCGGTTGTATTCCTCGGTTACAGCGTCCCTCAAATGCTCAGATAGCTTGGCGAGTTGACACATAGTTGAATAAATATCAGTTGAACCGACACAGAAGCTGTGCAGCTCTTCAAACACAGCGTGCTTGTCATTTACCAAGCGGTCTCCATTACTCTACCATGACTAGCTACCATAAACCCGACGAGAAGACGCTGCAGGGCCTGAAAGACATCGCTAACAAGCTGCGGATCAACTCTGTCAAGGCGACATGCGCCTCCAACTCCGGGTAAGTTTAAACGTAAAAAGGAACCGGTTTATGAACGTTGCGTAATGTAGCTAGCTAGCTAACATCAGACGTTGAACCGAACGGGGCTGCAGTGACAGTTGATCTCAAATTTGATGACTTTGTTACTTTGAGTTTTTTTGGAATTAAATTTAAAGTATGCACATTTTTTTTCCAAAAATGTTTTGGGTGGTTTGACACTTTATTCAGACAGTAATGAGATGGAGAGACAGGCAAATGGGAGAAACGGTTGGAAGAAGGGATTGATCCCAGTTCTCAGTGTGTTACCACTACACCAAGGCTCTGCACATGAAACTATAATTACATTTTACATATTTAGCAGACGCTCGTATCCAGAGCGACTTACAGTTAGTGAGTGCATACATTTTCATACTGGTCCCCCGTGGGAAACGAACCAACAACCCTGGCGTTGCAAGCGCCATGCTCTACCAACTGAGCTACAGGGGACTATAATATTAATGGTTGATGGCTGTGGGTAACCAAATCATAGAATGCAGTCTCCTTGTCTATAGACTGTTTTCAAGATAAGGACACAAACACTTTGTTTTTTGGGTGAACTATCTCTTTTAAAATAAGGATGGAAGAAAATCCTGTTTGCTTTCCAGGAGGGTTGGCCACCCCTGATCTGTTTCCCACGTGTTTGGTGTTTGAAAATGAATAAAGGACGAGTGTGTTTGGGGGTTTAGAAATATCCCTTTTGTCCCAAATGAACTGTTCTCTCTTTTAAGCTTGGAATTTCCTTAGTCACGGACTAGCGCAGCTGCAGGGATATTGATCTAAATAATTACATTGGGCTTCTCTCTCATTGCAGAGAAGTATTCAAGCCAAGTCGAACTACACTTTTCTCACCATTATTGCCACATTACAGAAGTGCTTCGTTCTCAACATGACATTCTGAACGTGTCTGTCACTGTGGGAAAAATAAGAGACACCAAGATGCCTATATACAGAATAGGGTGCCATTTGTTACGTATGACCTGCATTCTGTTAGTGTGTGTGTTTGGGAAAGAAGGGGACACTACTGAAGGGCTACAAAAGAAGTTGTCACCATCGAAGGGTAACTTTGTGTCAGCCCAGAGCAGCTCTAGCCAGTCTGTCTGCTGTCGTGATGCCAACTCCTTGGCACTATGGAGTTGGTAAGAGCGCAAACAGATCTGGGATCAGGCTAAAGCAACTCCACTGTTCCTAAGAATAAAATGTAGTTCTCTCCTCTGTTACAAAGATGCAGATTCCTCTGAACTCATGAGACAGTATCTATCCAGGCCAAGTGTTTCCTGGTTACAACATTGGGTATATAAACCTCACCTGTGGCTTAGATAAGGGCCAGTCTTTCACTTAAACAATGAGGAGGAGGAGCCAGAAAGATAGAGGAAATTGTCATCTTATAAACTGAAAAGAAGCTATAAGCAAACTTCCTCCTTAACGTCTATGATCATTATTTTCAAGTATGAAGACCAACCTGTTTTTGTGATCACTTCCTGGTCTGTCAGAGATTTTATTTATTTATTTTTTATTTTTTATTATTTTTTATTTCACCTTTATTTAACCAGGTAAGCCAGTTGAGAACAGGTTCTCATTTACAACTGCGACCTGGCCAAGATAAAGCAAAGTAGTGCAATAAAAAACAACACAGAGTTACATATGGGGTAGAGATGCCCAGTTGTCCACATCAACAGTATCCAGCACTGATTCTGCACATGTTCACTTTCCTGGTTAGATAACGTAAGCTGCCTGCGCTTAAATAAATACCACACACGGGTTAAATCGGTCTAGCCTACTTCCCAAATATAGGCCTAGATTAGGAATAGAATATTGATCAGGAAGTTGATTAGGCCTAGGCTACCGTTAACCGAATCATTGATTTTATTACGGACTACTACAATACTAATAGAAAATAAAATAATAAAAAGCTGTATCTTATTATATTGCTCGCTTATCTTGCACCTTTTCAGTTTATTATGGGTAAATCCATTTGAGTTCAATCACTTTTTGACAGCATCCCCTTTTTGGTTTAAACAATGTTCCGTACATGCTTGCCCATGGAAGAAGTGGTCAAAAAGTGACTTTGGACCTGAATGCCAAAACATTCAGGTGATAAAGGTGCTTAAAGTTGATCCATTTTGCATACCATACCATGAGACACCCATGGCTTCATCACTGGAAAAGAGAAACTGTTGCGTTTTGTCATTTTTTAAAAGCTTCAAATAATTTAAGTCATTTTTAACCTTAAACGTCAATTAACGCGTAAACTCAGATTTTGTTTTCTTTTTCTTCTTCATATTCACGTTATAAGATGGGCTATTTCCTGGTGAAACTTCCTCCATGTATTGTTTTCAGTAATAAATGTCACCTACCCAATGAGACCACCTCAGAGCAGGCTCAACTTGCCCTGCTCCTTTAGCCTAAACAATGTGGCTCCCCCTGACTGGCCGTGATTGCACACCACATACACTTTCCAGGAAAGAGAATACATTTGAAGTATGATGAAGACTAACCTGTTATTGCTAACTTAAAATGTTTTTGTCACTTCCTGGTATTCAGACAGTTGTCCACAAGGAAAACACAACCTGATAAACCATGATTCCCTTCCAGGGAAGGTTTAGTCCTTTCTTAGAGAAATTAAGAGTAGCCTATTTTCGAAGTATGTTTTCAATGTTCGCTAGATGGTTTGTACGGAATGACACGTTTTCCCCAAAACGGAGCGCACTGTTCTTCAACAGCCTTTTTGAGGTACGTTTTCTCCTGTGTGGTGGGTGTGGCCTGATCAATATAGGTATGACCATCTGAAACTCGTCCATCACAACATATATGAAATGGGCCACCATAATAACGACGCCTCAACTGGTCCTTCTGGACAGTACCGTTTCCGTTCACTTCCACGTTGTACACCGTTCTGTCGTTACTGAACGCAAGCCTGGTCTACCGCACTAGTTTTTCATCATTTATTTAAATGTTTTGTCATTCAGCAGACGCTCTTATCCAGAGCGACTTACAGGAGCAATTAGGGTTAAGTGCCTTGCTCAAGGGCACATCGACAGATTTTTCACCTAGTCGGCTCGGGGATTAGAACCAGCGACCTTCCGGTTACTGGCACAAAGCTCTTAACCACTAAGCTACCTGCCGCCCCTGTCTGGAGACTTTATTGGTGGTCTTCCACACAGACGTATGGACTGCTATATCTTTTTTATTTTTATATAGCACGTCTTTTTATTTGAGCTGAAAATCGATATAAATGTAAACTAGAAAGCGTAATTATCCTAAAGAAGAATTGCTTCTGTTGTCAAAGTATTTAGTGGGAACTTTGACTATACTTTTCTGTTACAGCAGGTTTCTGACACTGGAAGATCATCTTGTGGGTAAATGGTTGAAATAGCACGCTGTTGAATGCCAGTGACTGTTTGAATGATATAATGTTCCAAATGGCGTCCTTATGGGCCCCCCCGTCTAAGGTAACGCACTATAAAGAGAACAGCCGTTTGGGACGCAGCCCACGCGTTCCACTGACTGTCCCCATAGGGAGTGGAGTGTTGACATGTTCAGGTTATCAGGAAGTAGATATGCTGTTGGTCAACAACGCATGAGATTACAGGAAGTAGCGACACTATTAGTCAACAATGCATGTTTCTTTTTTTTTTTCTTCTTTTTTTCAAAAACTGCCAGATCTTGCAATATTCTGAACCACCACTGCTCTTAGCAAATAACTGTGTTGCAACACTGCTTGGCTTTTCTGTGGAGATTCTGTGGTATGAGGCCTCTGTCTCCATCATGACGTTCAGGTATTTCATGCTTGTGCTCAGTGTTCTCTCCCCTGGGGAAATATACAGTGAGCGCCAAGTGTTGGGGCCGTAACGTTTTGACTCTGAACTCCAGCGCTTTGGATTTGAAATGATACAATGACTATGAGGTTAAAGTGCAGACTGTCAGATTTTAGTTTTAGAGCCCCAGATCGAGGGAGATTATCAGTGGTCTTGTATGTCTTCCATTTCCTAATAATTGCTCCCACAGTTGATTTCTTCAAACCAAGCTGCTTACCTATTGCAGATTCAGTCTTCCCAGCCTGGTGCAGGTCTACAATTTTGTTTCTGGTGTCCTTTGACAGCTCTTTGGTCTTGGCCATAGTGGAGTTTGGAGTGTGACTGTTTGAGGTTGTGGACAGGTGTCTTTTTATACTGATAAGTTCAAACAGGTGCCATTAATACAGGTAACGAGTGGAGGACAGAGGAGCCTCTTAAAGAAGAAGTTACAGGTCTGTGAGAGCCAGAAATTTTGCTTGTTTGTAGGTGACCAAATACTTATTTTCCACCATAATTTGCAAATAAATTCATGAAAAATCCTACAATGTGATTTTCTGGATTTTTTTTCTCTCAATTTGTCTGTCATAGTTGACGTGTACCTATGATGAAAATTACAGGCCTCTCTCATCTTTTTAAGTGGGAGAACTTGCACAATTGGTGGCTGACTAAATACTTTTTCCCCCCACTGTATTGGTACAAATTCACTTGTGTAGTAATGTATTTGGTCCCATATTCACAGCACGCAACGACTACATTAAGCTTGTGACTCTACAAATTTGTTGGATGCATTTGCTGTTTGTTTCGGTTGTGTTTCAGATTATTTTGTGCCCAATAGAAATGAATGGTAAATAATATATTGTCATTTCGGAGTCACTTAGTGGCAAGAAAAGAATGTGTCATAACATTTTATTTAATCTTCAACCAAGTCACGACAATAGACACAGTGTGCTTAAACTAATAACACACAAATTATTGTATTTTTCTTGTCTATATTGAATACATCATTTAAACATTCACAGTGTAGGTTGGAAAAGTATGTGAACCCCGTAGGCTAATGACTTCTCCAAAAGCAAATTGGAGTCATAAAAAACTCAAAAAATGTGTGTGTGCTATTCACAAGAAGCATTGCCTGATGTGAACCATTCCTCGAACAAAAGATCTCAGAACACCTAAGATTAAGAATTGTTGACTTGCATAAAGCTGGAAAGGGTTACAAAAGTATATCTAAAAGCCTTGATGTTTATCAGTCCACGGTAAGACAAATGGTCTATAAATGGAGAAAGTTCAGCACTGTTGCTACTCTCCCTAGGAGCGGCCGTCCTGCAGAGATGACTGCAAGAGCACAGCGCAGAACGCTCAACGAGGTTAAGAAGAATCCCAGAGTGCCAGCTAAATACTCACAGAGCTAACATCTCTGTTGACGAGTCTACGATACGTAAAACACTAAACAAGAATGGTGTTCATGGGAGGACACCACGGAAGAAGCCTTTGCTGTCCAAAAAAAAAACATTGCTGCACGTCTGAAGTTCGTGAAAGAGCAGCTGGATGTTCCACAGCGCTACTGGCAAAATGTTCTGTGGACAGATGAAACTAAAGTTGAGTTGTTTGGAAGGAAGGAAGGAACACAACACTGTGTGTGGAGAAAAAAAGGCACAGCACACCAACATCCAAACCTCATCCCAACTGTAAAGTATGGTGGACGGAGCATCATGGTTTGGGGCTGCTTTGCTGCCTCAGGGCCTGGACAGCTTGCTATCATCGACGGAAAAATGAATTCCCAAGTTTATGAAAGCCTTAGATTCACCTGCAAAACGTCATCTGTCCGCGAAATGACTCAACAGGACAACGACCCAAAACCCAGAAGTAAATCAACAACGGAATGGCTTCAACAGAAGAAAATACGCCTTCTGGAGTGGCCCGGTCAGAGTCCCCGACCTCCTGGCCCGGTCAGAGTCCCGACCTCCTGGCCCGGTCAGAGTCCCGACCTCCTGGCCCGGTCAGAGTCCCGACCTCCTGGCCCGGTCAGAGTCCCGACCTCCTGGCCCGGTCAGAGTCCCGACCTCCTGGCCCGGTCAGAGTCCCGACCTCCTGGCCCGGTCAGAGTCCCGACCTCCTGGCCCGGTCAGAGTCCCCGACCTCCTGGCCCGGTCAGAGTCCCGACCTCAACCCGATTGAGATGCTGTGGCGTGACCTCGAACAGGTTCACACCAGACATCCCAAGAATATTGCTGAACTGAACAGTTTTATAAAGAGGAATGTTCCATAATTCCTCCTGACCGTTGTTCAGGTCTGATCCGCAACTACAGAAACCGTTTGGTCGAGGTTACTGCTGCCAAAGGAGGGTCAACCAGTTATTCAATCCAAGGGTTCCCAAACCTTTCCCACCCTGTGCTGTGAATGTTTACAGTGTGTTCAACAAACGTACAATTGTGTTATTAGTTTCTAAGCAGACTGTATGTCTGTTGTTGTCACTTAGAGGAAGATCAGATCAAATTGTATGACCCAATTTATGCAGAAATCCAGGTAATTCCAAAGGGTTCACATACTTTTTCTTGCCACTGTATATTGTGAATAAGAATAGAATATGTTTCTAAATACTTCTACATTAATGTGGACGCTACCATGGTTACGGATAATCCTAAATGAATTGTGAAATGTTAACTTTCCTCACTGGTGGTGGGAGTGTCCTGGTCTGGTGGTGGGAGTGTCATGGTCTGGTGGTGGGAGTGTCATGGTCTGGTGGTGGGAGTGTCATGGTCTGGTGGTGGGAGTGTCATGGTCTGGTGGTGGGAGTGTCCTGGTCTGGTGGTGGGAGTGTCATGGTCTGGTGGTGGGAGTGTCATGGTCTGGTGGTGGGAGTGTCCTGGTCTGGTGGTGGGAGTGTCATGGTCTGGGGCTGCATGAGTGCTGCCGGCACTGGGGAGCTACAGTCCATTGAGGGAACCATGAATGCCAACATGTACTGTGACATACTGAAGCAGAGCATGATCCCCCTCCCTTCGGAGACTGGGCCGCAGGGCAGTATTCCAACATGATAACGACCCCAAACACACCCCCAAGACGACCACTGCCTTGCTAAAGAAGCTGAGGGTAAAGGTGATGGACTGGCCAAGCATGTCTCCAGACCTAAACCCTATCCATTTTAGAAAAAGGCTGTAACGTAACAAAAATGTTGAGAAAGTCGAGGCGTTTTGAATACTTTCCGAATGCACTGTATATGCAACTATAACGTGAGTGGTTTGTGTTCCCATTAACAGCTGGTTGTGATGTGAGCGTTCACTAACAGACTGCCCTGTCTCTCTCCCCTCTCTCCTCTCTCCCCTCTCTCCTCTCTCCCCTCTCTCCTCTCTCCCCTCTCTCCTCTGGTTGTGATGTGACCTTTCACTAACAGACTGCCCTGTCTCCCCTCTGGTTGTGATGTGACCTTTCACTAACAGACTGCCCTGTCTCTCTCCCCTCTCTCCCCTCTCCCCTCTCTCCTCTCTCCCCTCTCCCCTCTGGTTGTGATGTGACCTTTCACTAACAGACTGCCCTGTCTCTCTCCCCTCTAACCAGTCACCCCACCACATGTTGCAGTGCAGCAGAGCTCATGTCGGTGCTGTTCTTCCATACGATGCGTTACAAAGCCATGGACCCACGCAACCAGTGCAACGACCGCTTCGTACTGTCTAAGGTGATCCTGCTACGCGCACTCACTCACTCCACACACACTCTCACTCTCTACACACACGGTTCACCTGTCAAGGGTTCTCTTTCAATTGCACTACATTTCCCATGCTCCCCTCGGCGTCGTGTACTGTGTTCTGATTGGCTGCTGTGTTCCTCCAGGGTCATGCTGCACCAATCCTGTACGCTGCCTGGGCGGAGGCGGGCTTTGTGAAGGAGGCTGAGCTGGTCAACCTGAGGAAGCTCGACTCTGACCTGGAGGGTCACCCCACACCTGTAAGTAACCCCCACACCTGTAAGTAACCCCCACACCTGTAAGTAACCCCCACACCTGTAAGTAACCCCCACACCTGTAAGTAACCCCCACAGCTGTAAGTAACCCCCACACCTGTAAGTAACCCCCACACCTGTAAGTAACCCCCACAGCTGTAAGTAACCCCCACACCTGTAAGTAACCCCCACAGCTGTAAGTAACCCCCACACCTGTAAGTAACCCCCACAGCTGTAAGTAACCCCCACAGCTGTAAGTAACCCCCACAGCTGTAAGTAACCCCCACAGCTGTAAGTAACCCCCACACCTGTAAGTAACCCCCACAGCTGTAAGTAACCCCCACAGCTGTAAGTAACCCCCACAGCTGTAAGTAACCCCCACAGCTGTAAGTAACCCCCACAGCTGTAAGTAACCCCCACAGCTGTAAGTAACCCCCACAGCTGTAAGTAACCCCCACAGCTGTAAGTAACCCCACTGTACTGAAAAGTTGTTCATTTAGGTTCAAAACGGAAGAAAACTGACAAACGGGAAGGGACTACCTTGTGTTTTCCAATAGTTGCAAGATGTTTTGAAACGTTTTCAGTGGTGTGCCCTCATGAACGTGGTCCAGCTCAGGTTTGATTTAACTCTTGACTGTTCTACAGAAACTGGAGTTTGTTGACGTGGCAACGGGGTCTCTGGGACAGGGTCTGGGGGCCGCCTGTGGGATGGCTTACACCGGGAAACACTTCGACAAGTCCAGGTACACACACACACACACACAGTCAAAGGTTTTTCACACACCTACTCATTCATTTTTTTTACTATTTTCTACATTGTAGAATAATATTGAAGACATCAAAACTATGAAATAACACATATGGAGTCATGTAGTAACCAAAAAAGTGTTAAACAAATCAAAATATATTTTATATTCTTCAAATAGCCACCCTTTGCCTTGATGACAGCTTTGCACACTCTTGGCATTCTCTCAACCTGCTTATCTAAAATATATTTTGATTTGTTTAACACTTTTTTTTTTGGTTACTACATGATTCCATATTTGTTATTTCATAGTTTTGATGTCTTCACTATTATTCTACAATGTAGAAAATAGTTTTAAATGAATGAGTAGGTTTCTCAAAACCTTTGACTGGTAGTGTATGCCCTCCAAAGCCTTAACGCTATCCCTCAAAGCACCTCTTACATTATAGTCATTTAGCAGACGCTCTTATCCAGAGCAACTTACAGTTAGTGAGTGCATACATTTTCATACTGCCCCCCCCCCCCGTGGGAAACTAACCCACAACCCTGGCGTTGCAAGCGCCACGATCTACCAACTGATTGTTCTCGGAAGGTTAAGGGTCACCCACAGAGGGTGTTGACAGTTTGAAAGAGCCTTGTGTACTCTTTCTGAACAGAGAGCAGTAATTCTTTAACTTTTGGCAAATATATTTCAATATATCAGGCGTGCTGCAGTGCCTCCAGAACCCGATGATTCAGTAATAAAATAAATGAAGTGCAACGCTGGTGAGATTAGTTGCGAGCTCTTGTCGATCAGAGCAGAGAGGGCGGGAGAGATCATAGAAATCTAAGAGAGGTACAGGCACTTCTCAAACAGCCACGTGTTGCTCTCAAACATAAGTAACAATGTTGCGCAAATCATAAGCCAGGGCTGGCACAACCCGAATCAACTCTTAGAATATCAGGCCCGGGCTGAGAATCTACTTTTACCGGATCCGGCCAAATAGGTTGCGGAAACAAAACAGTCCAAAACGGAGAGAGGTGCAGGATCTGGCTAAAATTAAGCACTGTAACTGCTGTTGCCGTCTTGAACATGTCTCTTGTTAAAGTGAATTTCTTGAGAATGAGAGTAATCTGTTTTTATGAAAATGTAATTTCTCTCTGTCCCTAGTTACCGTGTGTACTGTATGCTGGGTGATGGGGAGTGTTCGGAGGGGGCTGTCTGGGAAGCCATGGCGTTTGGTTCCTACTACAACCTGGATAACCTGGTGGCTATTATAGACGCTAACCGCCTGGGACAGAGTGAAGCTGCTCCTCTCAAACACGACATGGACGTGTACCGCAAACGCTGCGAAGCATTTGGGTCTGTACCCTCTCTCTGTCTCTGTGTCTCTCTCTGTGTCTCTCTCTGTGTCTCTCTGTGTCTCTCTGTGTCTCTCTGTGTCTCTCTGTGTCGGTCTCTGTCTCTGTCTCTGTCTCTGTCTCTCTCCCTCTCCTCCAGTCTTATTCAGTCTGTCTTCCGTACTGCCCCGCCCTCCTTTAATTCTTGAACTCTGTGTAGGTGGAACACGTATGTGGTGGATGGTCATGACGTTGAGGAGCTGTGTAAAGCTCTGTGGCAGGCCCAGCAGGTGAAGGGGAAACCCACTATGATCGTAGCCAAGACCTTCAAGGGCAGAGGACTCAAAGGTATGGAGAGACTGGGGAAGCAGAGGTCTGGGAGAGACTGGGGAAGCAGAGGTCTGGGAGAGACTGGGGAAGCAGAGGTCTGGGAGAGACTGGGGCAGCAGAGGTCTGGGGAAGCAGAGGAGAGACTGGGGAAGCAGAGGTCTGGGGAAGCAGAGGAGAGACTGGGGAAGCAGAGGTCTGGGGAAGCAGAGGAGAGACAGAGACTGGGGCAGCAGAGGTATGGGAGAGACTGGGGAAGCAGAGGTGTGTGAGAGACTGGGGAAGCAGAGGTGTGTGAGAGACTGGGGAAGCAGAGGAGAGACTGGGGAAGCAGAGGAGAGACTGGGGAAGCAGAGGAGAGACTGGGGAAGCAGAGGAGAGACTGGGGAAGCAGAGGAGAGACTGGGGAAGCAGAGGAGAGACTGGGGAAGCAGAGGAGAGACTGGGGAAGCAGAGGAGAGACTGGGGAAGCAGAGGTGTGGGAGAGACTGGGGAAGCAGAGGTGTGGGAGAGACTGGGGAAGCGGTGGGAGAGACTGGGGAAGCAGAGGTGTGGGAGAGACTGGGGAAGCAGAGGTGTGGGAGAGACTGGGGAAGCAGAGGTGTGGGAGAGACTGGGGAAGCAGAGGTGTGGGAGAGACTGGGGAAGCAGAGGTGTGGAGAGACTGGGGAAGCAGAGGTGTGGGAGAGACTGGGGAAGCAGAGGTGTGGGAGAGACTGGGGAAGCAGAGGTGTGGGAGAGACTTTTTATTGTTGGTTGCACCTGTATGTATGTTCTTTTTGGGTTGCCCCCCGGCCCCCCCCCCCCCCCCCCCCCCCCATTTTTGGTCCCCTTTTTTCCCCCGTTTTTTCTGTTTTTCCTTTTTTCTCTTTTTTCCCTTTTCCCCTCCCCTTTCCCAAGACCCCCTTAATTCAGGGCTAAGCCTCTTCCCGGGGGGGGGTTTAAACCCTTGGGCCCCGGGGGGGCCCCCTTTTTTTTTAAAAAAAAAAAAATTTCCTTTTGAACCCGGGTAGGTGGAGAAAACAAGGGGGAAAGTTGGGAAGGAAAAATCGGGGGCTAAAGGAAATTTTTAAAAGGGGAGCTCTGTCTTTTAACAAGTTGGAGGACCAAGCAGGGGGGGGAAAGGGGAAACCCCCCCAGAGAGGGGGAACCCAAGATTTAAGGGGGAAATAAAAGGGGTTGGGGGAGAGACGGGGTGAACGAGGTGGGAAGAGACGGGGGAAACGGGGTTTTGGGGGAGAGACGGGGGAAGCAAGGTTGGGAAGACTGGGGACCAGAGGTTTGGGAGAAAAACCTGGGAAGCAGAGGTAAACGGGGGAAACAGAGGGGGTAAGACTGGGGAAGCAGAGGTTGGGGAAGAAGGAAACCCGGTTTTGGGGAAGGCCAAAGGTTTAAAGGAGGAGCCCCTGGGGAAGCGATTTGTGTAAAATTTACTTTAAAACAGGAGGTGTTTAGGAGGGGAAGAAGCAGCGGGGAAGGAAAGGGGGAAGCCTAATGCGGGAGAGACCTTAAAGCCGGAGGTAGATTAAACCCCAAAGAACGGGGCCCGAGGAACCTAACGAAGGGGAAAACCCCCGGGCCCCGCAAAAACCTTAAACCAAGGGGCCTTTAAACCTAACCAAATGGGGAAAGGGGGAACAAACCCAACCAGGGAGGGGAGACAAACAACACCTTACAAAAGATGGGTAGGGGGGAAACAAACCAAGGGGGAAAACCCCCAAAAAAAAAAGGGGGAGAACAAAAAGGGTTAAACACCAATTGGGAAACCCCCAACAATTAGAGATTAACAAAAACAATTTTTTAACCCTTTATTTTTGGTTAACCAAACACAAAACCCACCACCCTTTATAACAAAAAACAAAAAAAACCCCCGGAGGGCCCACAAAGATTGCCAAACCACCAAACCCACCCAACCCATAGGGGGAAAACCCCCACCTCCCCCTTTAAGTTTCAAACCCAAAAACCCACCCCAAAGCCCACAACACAACCCCCCCACCCCCCACACCCCCCCCCTTTCCACCCCAAACCCCACATTATGGGTAACACAACACCAAAATAAATAAAAACACCCCCAACACACCAAAAGAGAAGAGACAACACCCCCCACACACACCCCCAAAAAAACACACACACACCCCACCACAAAAAGAACAAACACACCCACCCCACCCAAAACCCCCAAAGAAGAACAAACCCCAAAACACACACCACAAAAGACCCCACCCCCCCCAACAACCACAAAAACCCCACACACCACCCAACCCCCAAATATAGCCCAAAACCCCCCAAAAAAACACACCACAACCCCACAACAAAGAACACACCCACACCAAACCACAGAGTGGACCCCACACCACCACCCCCCAAGAGAGACAAAACACCCACCCCCACCCACCCACACCACAAAGAAGACACACCCCCACCCACAAGAGAACACCCACACACCCCCCACCAAAAGAAAACACACACCACACCCCCAAGAGAGAGACACACACAAAACCCCCACAAAACCCCAAGAAAAACCAACACCCACCCCAAAAAAAACACACACCCCACAAAAATAGACCCAAACAAAAACCCCCCACAGAAAACCCCCAAAACACCCACAGAAAGAGCCACAAACACCCACAACCACAGGGGATAAGACAAACCCCACAAAACACCCCCACAAAGAAACACCCACAAAACACACACCACAGAGAAAACCCACAACACACCCCCACCCCCCAAAATAACACAACCCAAACACACACAAAACACCACAAGAGACCACACACACACCCACCCCCCCAAAAACACACACACAAAACCACCCAAGAAACACCACCACAACCCACACACCCACAAAGTGAACCCACCCCCACACACACACCACAAAAAGAGAGCCCAACACACACCCACACCCCACCCCCCACAGAATAAAAAAACACACACACCCACACACACCCAAAAGAAAAAACAACACACCCACACAAAACAACCACAAAGGGAAGACAAACACACACCCCCACAAAAAAAACCCACACACCACACCCCACAAAAGAGCCCCACACACCCACACAACACACACCACAAAAAGACCCCCACACACACACCCCCAAAATAGACCACACAACACACACACCAAAACCCATAAAAAACCAAACACCCCAAAAACACACACACCCCCCCACCAAGAGAAGACCCCCACACCCCCCCACACCACAAGAGAAAACACCCCCAAAACACCCCCACCACCCCCCAAACAAAAGAAAACACCCCCCCACACACCCAAAGAAACCACCCCCCACACAAAACCCCCGGAAAACAAAAACCCCACAAAAAAAACACACACCCCCCCCAAAACCCCACAAGAAGACCCCACCCCAAAACCCCCCCACACACCCAAAATTTTAACCACACACACCCCCCCACAATAAGAACACAACACACAACACCCCACATAAAAACACCCCACCCCAACCAACACACACCCAAAAAAACAACACACACCCCAAAACCCACAAAAAACACCCCCCCAACCCCCCAAAAAACCACATAACACACCCAAAAACAGCACCAAAAAAACCCCAAAAACAACACCCCACCACACAAACCCCCAAAAACCCAACCCAAAACCACCCCCCACACCACAGAAAGAAAAACACACAACACACCACAAAAAACCCACCCCACAACACCCCACAGAAAGAAAACCCCACCCCACCACCCCACAAAAACCGAGACACCCCACCCACCCCCCAAAAGAAAGAACACCCCCCCACCCCAAACCAAAACCCAACACCCCCCAGAAAAGAAAACCCCACACACACACCCCCACCCAAGGGGAAGCCCAACACCCCCACACCCCCAAGAAAACAAACCAACACACCCCCACAGAAGAAAACACACCCCAAAACCCCCAAAAAAACACACACACCCCCACACCACAAAAACCCCAACCCACCCCACACACCCACAACACCAAAAAAAAAAAACATAAAACCCCACACCACCACACACCACTAGAGAAAAAAACACCCCCCACCCAAAGATAACCACCCCACAAAACACCAAAAAGGGGAAAAAAACCACACACACCCACACACCACCACATTAAAGCCCCCAAAACCCCCAACCCACACACACCCAAAATAGGAAAACACAACCCCACCCCCACAACGAAAACACACCCCACAAAACCCCCAAAAAAAAACGACACACCAAAAAAAAAGGGGAGACCCACACCCCCCCACACCCCACCAAAAAGGGGACCCACACACAAAAACACAACACCCCAACAAGAAACCCACACACACACCCCCACAAACCCACCCCAAAAAAAAACACCAACCCCCAAAAGACCACACACACCCCACACCCCCCACAGAGAGAAACCCCAAACACCCCCCCAACACAAAAAAACACACACCACCACCACAAAAGAGAGACACAACACACCCCCACCCCCAAAAAAGATACAAACCACACCCCAAACCACGGTTAACCCCCCCCCCCCCCCCCCACCAAAACCAAGGGAATTTTCCCCTCCCAAAACGGGCGCCACCCATTTGGGCCGGAGTTGACAAAGGGAACCCCCCTTCCTCTAACCCCCCAAAATTTGCCACCCCTAAGGCTATCGGGGGCCCTGCGCAAACGGGGGTTAGATATAGAGGGTAATTGGTTGGGGAAAGTTGAATGGGGGATTGTTTTTGGAGGGTTAAAAGGTACCCGGGGAAGGAGTAAATCCTTCTGGCGGGAAGGGGAAACATGGTGAAAAGGGGGAGGATTTTTAAATTGTGGGGATGGGGAGGAGGAGGAGGGGGGGAAATGGGGGATTGGGGGAAAGGGAAGGGGGAGGAAAAACATGGTGAGATTTTTGGGGAGGAGGAGAAACATGGGATATGGGGGGGGGAGGAAAACCCGGGTTTTAGACTTGGGGAGGAAAATTTTTAACGGGTGATGTAGGAGGGGGAAAAACTTTGGTTTAGATTTTGGGGGAACAAGGGGGAAGGCCCTTTTTTTGAAGCCCCTGGGGGGGAGGGGGAGGATAAAAATTGGTGAACGGGGGAGGAGGAAAAACTTTTTTTAGACTTGGGGAAAAGGAGGGAGGAAAACATGGGGGGAATTTGGGAGGGGGAAGGGGGGAATAACAGGAAGCCTTTTAAAAAGGGGGAGGGAGGAAAACATGGTAGACTGGGGAGGAAAAGGAGGAAGAACATGGTAAAGCCCTGGGGAAAAGAGGGGGGGAGGAAAAACATGGTGAACGGGGGAAAGGGTTTAGGGAGGAAAAAAATTGGAAAACCCGGGGAAAAAGGAGGGAGGAAGAACATGGTAATTTTGGGGAGTCGGAGGGAGGAAAAACCATTTTGAGACTGGGGGAGGGGGTTAAAGAACATTTTTTTAGATTTTGGGGAAAAGGAGGGGGGAAAACAGGTAAACCTGGGGAAGGGGGGAAGTAAAAAACATGGTGAGACTGGGGAGGAGGGGGAAAGAAAAACTTTGGGGGAACTGGGGGGAAAGGGAAAAAACTGGTAAAACTGGGGGAGGAGGGGGAGGGAAGGAACAGGGGTGAACTGGGGAAAAGGAGGAGGAAAACTTTTTTTGAATTTGGGTGAGGAGGAGGGAGGAAAAAACATGGTGAGATTTGGGGAGGGAAAGGAAGCCCAGGGGTGAAAACGGGGGAGGAGGAGGGGGGAAAAAATGGGAGATTTGGGGAAAGGGGGAGGGGGGGAAAAACTTTGGGTGAAGACTGGGGGGGAAGGGGGAAAAGGAACATGGGGAGACTGGGGGGAGGAGAGGGAAAAAACCCGTTTTCCCGGGGGAAAGGAGGGGGGAAAGGAAAAACTGGTAAACGGGGAAGAGGGGGAAAGGAAGCCCCATGGTAGACTGGGGGGGGGAGGGGGGAAAACATGGGAGACGGGGGGAGGGGGGGAGGAAGCCCATGGTAAACCCCTGGGGGGGGGGGAAAGAACGGGGGAGCCGGGGAAGAGGAGGGGGGGAAAGAACTGGTGAGACGGGGGGAGGAGGAGGGAGGAAACCCTGGGGGAGACGGGGGAGGGGGAGGGAGGAAAACATGGTGAGATTTGGGAGGGGGGGGAAGAACTTTGGGGTGAGATTTGGGGGGGAGGAGGGAGAAAACCCTTTTGGGGGAACCCTTGGGGGAGGAGGGAAAAGAACATGGTAACTGGGGGGAGGAGGGGGGAAGAACTTTTTAACGGGGGAGGAGGAAAAAAATTGGTTTGGAAGGGGGGGAAAGGGGGAAGGGGGAAAAACATGGTGTTAAGATTTTGGGGGGGAGGGGGAAAAAACATTTGAATTTTGGGAATTTTTAGGGAAAAAACATTTTGGAAGTGGGAGGATGAAAACCCGGGTTAAACCCTGGGGAAAGGGAAAGGGGGAAAACATTTTAAACGGGGGAGGAGGGAAAGTAACATGGTGGCCTGGGGGGGGGGGAAAAACCCCCTGGTAAACGGGGGAGGGAAAACGGGTTAAGACGGGGGAGGGGGAGGGGGGAAAAACCCAGGGTGAGATTTGGGGGGGGAGGGGGAGGAAAACAGGGTAAAGCCCTGGGGGGGCATTGGTTTTTAACATTTTTTAACTTTTAGGGGGGAGGAGGAAAAACACTTTTTTAATTTTGGGGGAAAGGAAAATGGGGGAAACTTTGGTGAGTGAGGGGAAGGGGGAGGGGAAGAACTTTTGAGACTGGGGGGGACCAAAGGAAAACCGGGTGTTAACGGGAAAGGAGAGGAAAGGAACCAACATTTTAGATTTTTAAGGGGGTAGGAGGAAAGAAAATTTTTAATTTTGGGGAGGGGGAGGGGGGAAGAACATTTTGAAATTTGGGGGGGGAAAAGAACAGGGTTTTAATTTTTAAGAAGGAAATTAACATGGGGGAAAGGGGGAAAGGGGGAGGGAGGAAAAACCGGGTGAAATTTTTAAAAAAGAACATGGTGAAATTTTGGGGGGGGGGAGTAAAAAAGGGTTTAAACGGGGGAAAGGAGGAGGGAAAAATAAACTTTGGTGAACTGGGGGGGAGGAGGGAGAAAAACATGGTGAGTTTGGGGGGGAAAGGTTTTAAAAAAACCCTTTTGGAACGGGGAGGGGGTTGAGGAAAAAAGGGTGAGAATTGGGAGGATGGGGGAGGAAGAACTGGTTAACTGGGATTGGGAGGTAAAAACTTTTTGGGGGAATTTGGGGAGGAGGGGGGGAGGAAAAACTTTGTAACGGGGGGTTAGGGAGGAAAAAACTTTGGTGAAAACGGGGAGTAGTGGGGGGGAAAGAACATGGTGAAATTTGGGGAGGGAGGGAGGAAGAACAGGTGAATTTGGGGAGGCGGGGGGAAAAAAGGGTTAAGGGACTTGGGGGAAAAAAGGAAAAGGGGGAAAAAAAAAAAAAAAACCCGGGTGAACTGGGAGGGGAAAAAAGGGGGGTTTGAACTGGGGAGGGGGGAAAACATGGTGTACTGGGGAGGAAAACGGTAAGCTGGGGTACTCCAAAACCTGGGGAATGGGAAGGGGAGGAAAACAATGGTGAACTGGGGGGGAGGAGGGAGAAAACTTTGGTGAGATTTGGGGGAGGGGAGGGAGGAAAAACATGGTGCCCCCCCGGGGGGGAAAAGGGGGGGGGGAGGAAAACGGTTTAGATTTGGGAGGGAAAACGGGTTTGGACGGGGGAGGAGGAGGGGAAGGAAAACAGGGTTTTGAGACGGGTGGGGAGGGGGGAGGAAAACTGGTGAGATTTTGGGGAGGAGGAGGGAGAAAACCCTTGGTGAGACTGGGGAGGAGGAGGGAGGAAAACGGTTTAACTGGGGGGGGAGGGAGGAAGAACATGGTGAGCTGGGGGGGAGGAAAAACCCGGGTTTAGACTGGGGAGGGGAGGAGGAAAACAGGGTGAAAACTGGGGAGGGGAGGGGGAAAAACCCTGGTGAACGGGGGAGGAGGAGGGAGGAAGAACATGGTTTAGACTGGGGGATGAGGGGGGGAAGAAACAGGGTTTTGAGACTGGGGGGGGAGGAAAAACAGGGTTTAACTGGGGGGGGGGGAAAGGAAAAACATGGTGAGAACTGGGGAAAAAGGAGGGAGGAAAACTTTGGTGAGTTTTTGGGGAGGGGGAAAGGAAAAACCCTGGTGAAAAACTGGGGAGGGGAAAGGAAAGAACAGGGTGAGACTGGGGAGGAGGGCGGAAAAAACGGGGGTTTAGATTTGGGGGGGGAGGGGGGGAAAACATGGTGAGCGGGGGAGGAGGAGGGGGGGAAAAACAGGGTGAACGGGGGAGGAGGGGGGAGGAAGAACTGGTAAACGGGGGAGGGGGGAAAACCCTGGTGAGATGGGGGGGAAAGGTAGGAAGAACTTTGGGGGGCCCTGGGGAAGGGATGGGGGGGAAAAAATGGGGGAGTGGGGGAAAAGGAGGGAGGGAAAAAACTGGTGAGGGGAAGGGGGAGGGGGAAAGAACTGGGACCCCTGGGGGGGGAGGAAAAACCCTGGTGAGCCAAGGGAGGAAAAACAGGGTGAACTGGGGGGAAGGAACATGGTGAGAGGGGGAAGATGGGGGAAAAAAAACAGGGTTTGAACTGGGGGGGAAAAAGGGGGAAGAACTTTGGTGAAACTGGGGGAGGGGGGGAGGAAAAACTTTGGTGAACTGGGGAGGAGGGGGGAAGAACAGGTGAATTTGGGGAGAGGAGGGAAAAACTGGGACGGGGGAGGAGGAGGGGGAAAAACATGGTGAGCTGGGGAGGAGGGGGGAAAGGAAAGAACGGGTTAACTGGGGAGGGAGGGAAAAAACCAGGGTGATACGGGGAAAAGGGAGGGGGGAAGAACATTGGATTTGGGGGAGGAGTGGGGAAGAAAAATGGTGAGATGGGGGGGAAGGAAAACTTTTGAGACTGGGAGGGAGGAAGAACATGGTGAGACTGGGGAGGAGGAGGGAGGAAGAACATGGTGAGACTGGGGAGGAGGAGGGAGGAAGAACATGGTGAGACTGGGGAGGAGGAGGGAGGAAGAACATTGATCCTGATTTGATATCCCCTCCAATCACAACGATTATCCAAATATTGTAACTGTCATTTTTTTTCTCTCTCCACACAACACGTTGGTATCTAGTTGCTAAGCAACCGTTTTTTGTTTGTCCAGACGAAACCAGTCTGTTAAAAGTTGCTCGCTCACTTCTAAATTGTCAAACTAAATACATACTGCAATTCCTACCTCAAAACCGCTTTGCTTTGAATTTAAACCTAAAAATACAAGAACTTGCCTAGCTAACAGCAAAATCTTTGACTTTGTAATAATTCTAATTACATTTGAGGTCATGGAATATATTATTTCCAACAACCAATGAGCAACCCCGCCCTAAATACAGCGCATATTGATATTTGAGATTTGCCGAAAACCCAGACTCTTTGGCAATGACATGGAGAGTGGCATGTTGGCTGAAGAGACTGATACCGTACTGAGACCAGATTAGGTCTACCCTTTAGTCTCTGGTAAAGGCCCCATAGTGTTAGGAGACTGAGGCGCCAGTAAACCTACTAACTGTAGTGTTGTAATCAAAAGGTCACAGGTCATGAGGTCACAGGTCATGGCTGTAACCAGTTTTAAATCAGCCTCCATTAACTAGCTGGAAGATTAACAGCGCGGCCGAACCGCCACGTTGATTTTTATCCGTGCTTTCTCAACGGGAGTCGTACGTTGACGGACAGCGTAGATGTGTCCCCTTTTTCCAGAAAATTTTAGCCAATTAGAGGACAAGCGAACGGACCAAGGACCAAAATGCATGGTTGGTGTCCATTCTCAACATGTACCGGTTTGGCCGCACCCTAGTCCTGACTCCTGTTCTGTTCTATGATGGGACTGGCTGTGTAATCCTAACTCCTGTTCTGGTCAGGGCTGTGTTGGTTCAGGTTAATCTGAGTTCGCCGCTCCTAGACCTCACCCTAATCTCTACCTCTCTGTAACTGACTGACACGCCCCTACGCTGCCAGAAGCAAGGATACATTTCCTGATGTCACTCCTGACCTCAAATCATGATCTTCCACTGTGTAGTGTCTATCTAGTTCATTCATGTAGGATACAGGGTTGGTTGTCTAGTTCATTCATGTAGTATACAGGGTGGGTTGTACGATAATATATAGGAGATCAAGCAATACTCCAGCAAAAGTATCCACGTGTCCTGATTAGGCCTCAAGGCCACAGATGGCATTGGTCCAGCTGTCAGAATGTTTGAGGAGTAGCGAACAATAGCACTCTATCCAGGACCCAACGAACAATAGCACTCTATCCAGGACCCAACGAACAATAGCACTCTATCCAGGACCCAGCGAACAATAGCACTCTATCCAGGACCCAACGAACAATAGCACTCTATCCAGGACCCAGCGAACAATAGCACTCTATCCAGGACCCAACAAACAATAGCACTCTATCCAGGACCCAACGAACAATAGCACTCTATCCAGGACCCAACGAACAATAGCACTCTATCCAATCTATACACAATACCCCATAATGACAAAGCGAAAAACTGATTTTTAGAGTGCACTACCTTTTTATCCCAAATGGCTCTGGTCAAAAAGGTGTGCGTCCCAAATAGCACCATATTCCCTTTTAGACATTTTTGCAAATGTATTAAAAATAAAAACAACTTATTTACATATCATCCGTGTGTCCGTGCGTCCGTCTGTCCGTGTGTCCGTGCGTCCGTCTGTCCGTGTGTCTGTGTGTGTCTCTTCACAGTCCCCGCTGTTCCATAAGGTGTATTTTTACCTGTTTTTTAAATCTGATTCTACTGCTTGCATCAGTTACCTGATGTGGAATAGAGTTCCATGTAGTCATGGCTCTATGTAGTACTGTGCGCCTCCCATAGTCTGTTCTGGGACTTGGGGACTGTGAAGAGACCTCTGGTGGCATGTCTTGTTGGGTATGCATGGGTGTACAGCATAAGCTGTATTTTTACCTGGTTTTGAAATCTGATTCTGCTGCTTGCATCAGTTACCTGATGTGGGATATAGTTCCATGGCGAAGGTGGGTGTATTAATATTGTTGTTTTATAGGTGAGCGTGGCGATCGGCTGTGCCACGAGAGACCGTACCGTGGCGTTCGCCAGCACCTTCTCTGCCTTCCTGTCCAGGGCCTACGACCACATCAGAATGGCTGCTGTCTCCGAGTCCAACATTAACTTGGCTGGGTCTCACTGCGGCGTCTCCATCGGTCAGTACTGTGTGTCTCTAAGCGAGTTGTCTCCGTCTGTTGATCGGTGCGTCTCAAATCTCACCTGTCCCCTTCCCTCGACCAATCACACTGTACTTCCTGTCTCCAGGTGAGGATGGCCCCTCCCAGATGGCATTGGAGGACATCGCTATGTTCCGCGCTATCCCAACATGCACTGTGTTCTACCCCAGCGATGGTGTGTCTGCTGAGAGGTCTGTGGAGTTGGCTGCTAACACCAAGGTAAGAACCACACACCGGCCCTGCCCCGGCCCCGGCCCCGGCCTGGACTCCGACTGTCAACCCAACACCTTAGCCATTACACCAACAGATTCAAACCCCTTGACGAGGTCACGAGGTGTTGGGATTCTTTTCGCTACAATAGTTTGTTGCCTTACTAACTGAAGTTGTTAGGAATATGACTTGGTGCAGCTCATTTTAAATATCAGGTACAAAAATACACACGCATACATTCAAACTTTCATTATAGCCTAAACATACAGTACACATTGTAGAAAAGGCACCACTATACAAATCTATGAGCAATATACATATCTGTAGCTCAGCTGGTAGAGCACGGCGCTTGTAACGCCAAGGTAGTGGGTTCGATCCCCGGGACCACCCATACACAAAAATGTATGCACGCATGACTGTAAGTCGCTTTGGATAAAAGCGTCTGCTAAATGGCTTATTATTATTATTATTATTATTATTATTATAACTAAGCCTGGTGTCTCTGTGTCTGAATATTTCAGGGAATCTGTTTCATCCGAATCACCAGACCAGAACTGAAGGTGATCTACGACCCCAAGGAGAAGTTTGAGGTGGGCGTGGCCAAGGTGGTACGTCAGTCCGACAGCGACAAGGTGACTGTGATCGGAGCTGGAGTGACTCTGCATGAAGCCCTGACTGCTGCAGACCAACTGGCCAGTGAGGGTAAGAGCTCCCCCCGGTGGCCTGGCAGGGAATTACACCACTAGACCATGTCCAGGGCACATTATTTTATTTATTTTATTTAACCAGGTAAGCCAGTTGAGAACAAGTTCTCATTTACAACTGCGACCTGGCCAAGATAAAGCAAAGCAGTGCGATAAAAACAACACAGAGTTACATATGGGGTAAAAAAACAAAGTCAAAAATACAACAGAAAATATATATACAGTGTGTGCAAATGTAGCAAGTTATGGAGGTAAGGCAATAAATAGGCTATAGTGCAAAATAATTACAATTAGTATTAACACTGGAATGATAGATGTGCAAGAGATGATGTGCAAATAGAGATACTGGGGTGCAAAAGAGCAAAATAAATAACAATATAGGGATGAGGTAGTTGGGTGGGCTAATTACAGATGGGCTGTGTACAGGTGCAGTGATCGGTAAGGTGCTCTGACAACTGATGCTTAAAGTTAGTGAGGGAGATAAGAGTCTCCAGCTTCAGAGATTTTTGCAATTCGTTCCAGTCATTGGCAGCAGAGAACTGGAAGGAATGGTGGCCAAAGGAGGTGTTGGCTTTGGGAATGACCAGTGAGATATACCTGCTGGAGCGCATACTACGGGTGGGTGCTGCTATGGTGACCAATGAGCTAAGATAAGGCGGGGATTTGCCTAGCAGTGATTTATAGATGGCCTGGAGCCAGTGGGTTTGACGACGAACATGTTGTGAGGACCAGCCAACAAGAGCGTACAGGTCACAATGGTGGGTAGTATATGGGGCTTTGGTGACAAAACGGATGGCACTGTGATAGACTACATCCAATTTGCTGAGTAGAGTGTTGAAGGCTATTTTGTAAATGACATCGCCGAAGTCAAGGATCGGTAGGATAGTCAGTTTTACGAGGGCATGTTTGGCAGCATGAGTGAAGGAGGCTTTGTTGCGAAATAGGAAGCCGATTCTAGATTTAACTTAGGATTGGAGATGCTTAATGTGAGTCTGGAAGGAGAGTTTACAGTCTAACCAGACACTTAGGTATTTGTAGTTGTCCACATACTCTAGGTCAGACCCGTCAAGAGTAGTGATTCTAGTCGGGTGGGCGGGTGCCAGCAGCGTTCGATTGAAAACCATGCATTTAGTTTTACTAGTGTTTAAGAGCAGTTGGAGGCTACTGAAGGAGTGTTGTATGGCTTTGAAGCTCGTTTGGAGGTTTGTTAACACAGTGTCCAATGAAGGGCCAGATGTATACAAAATGGTGTCGTCCGCATAGAGGTGGATCTGAGAGTCACCAGCAGCAAGAGCGACATCATTGATATACACGGAGAAAAGTGTCGGCCCAAGAATTGAACCCTGTGGCACCCCCATAGAGACTGCCATAGGTCCAGACAACAGGCCCTCCGATTTGACACACTGAACTCTATCTGAGAAGTAGTTGGTGAACCAGGCGAGGCAGTCATTTGAGAAACCAAGGCATTAGAGAGGCTATGTTTACACAGGCAGTCCAATTCCTATTTTTGTCCCTATTTGGTCTTTTGACAGTAATTGGGCTTCCTGTCAGTGTCTCAGGGTAGGAGTGTAATTGGGCTTCCTGTCAGTGTCTCAGGGTAGGAGTGTAATTGGGCTTCCTGTCAGTGTCTCAGGGTAGGAGTGTAATTGGGCTTCCTGTCAGTGTCTCAGGGTAGGAGTGTAATTGGGCTTCCTGTCAGTGTCTCAGGGTAGGAGTGTAATTGGGCTTCCTGTCAGTGTCTCAGGGTAGGAGTGTAATTGGGCTTCCTGTCAGTGTCTCAGGGTAGGAGTGTAATTGGGCTTCCTGTCAGTGTCTCAGGGTAGGAGTGTAATTGGGCTTCCTGTCAGTGTCTCAGGGTAGGAGGGCTAATCTATGATCCGGTCTCGCTGGTCCATGTAATCTATGATCTGGTCTCATTTTCATTTTAGTCATTTAGCAGACACTCTTATCCAGAGCGACTTACAGTTAGTGAATACTATTTTTTTATTTTTTTCATACTGGTCCCCCGTGGGAATCGAACCCACAACCCTGGCGTTGCAAACGCCATGCTCTATCAACTGAGCTACATCCCTGCCGGCCATTCCCTCCCCTACCCTGGACAACGCTGGGCCAATTGTGCGCCGCCCCATGAGTCTCCCGGTCGCGGCCGGCTGCGACAGAGCCTGGATTCGAACCAGGATCTCTAGTGGCACAGCTAGCACTGCGATGCAGCGCCTTAGACCACTGCGCCACTCAGGAGCTGGAGTCTCCCTGGTCCATGTAATCTACAGTGAGGGGGGGGGGGGGTATTTGATCCCCTGCTGATTTTGTACGTTTGCCCACTGACAAAGACATGATCAGTCTATAATTTTAATGGTAGGTTTATTTCAACAGTGAGAGACAGAATAACAACAAACAAATCCAGAAAAACGCATGTCAAAAATGTTATGAATTGATTTGCATTTTAATAAGCACAGAGATGTGAACATAGCAGTAGGCTAGAAGCGCGAATGTTCCAAAATGCAGTCGGTTACCGGGGAAACTGTTCTCAAAAGGGAAGGCAAATGCGATTTAGCATGTAATGCATTATTATAAAGGTGCATTATTATAAAGGTGCATTTTTAATTGTGAAAATTATCTTCCCCAAACTTGAACCTCACGCGCCCAGTCAGGTTCTACACCGGTTGTAAAGCGGATTAAAGTGCTTCATTTTAAGAAGTTATTTGGCGTCTTTAGTTGTGATACAAACCTTATTAAAACATATAGACCTATGGGCTAGGATACATGAGGTGGGCGACTATGATTAGAAAAAGGGCATGATCTGTTTCTCTTGATCTTTCTTCTTGTTTCATGATCTGCACACGCTGGGGGCTAATATTGTCACATCAGACTATTCTTTAATTTGTTGACTTTACATCTCCTGAATAATGTGTGAAATTAGTTTAGAAAAAAAAGACATGTAATCTAAGCACTTAAATAGTAAATGGAGGAGCTTTTCCCGTGGTTTATTTTCATGCCAGCCAGGTAGGCTATACTCCTGTTGTAAAGAGAAGCAATGTGCTTAGTATTAGGAAAGTTGAGAAATAAATATAGTAGGCCTAGCCTATAGAAAGCTTTTAATAGAGGCCATCAACTCTGTTTTCTCAAGCAATTGCAAAGGAAAAAAAGTAATATCTCAGACTGCCCATCTTAATCTTTTTTCTTTTTATTGGCCAGTCTGAGATATGGCTTTTTCTTTGCAACTCTGCCTAGAAGGTCAGCATCCCGGAGTCGCCTCTTCACTGTTGACGTTGAGACTGGTGTTTTGCGGGTACTTTTAATGAAGCTGCCAGTTGAGGACCTGTGAGGCGTCTGTTTCTCAAACTAGACACTCTAATGTATTTGTCCTCTTGCTCAGTTGTGCACCGGGGCCTCCCACTCCTCTTTCTATTCTGGTTAGAGCCAGTTTGCGCTGTTCTGTGAAGGGAGTAGTACACAGCATTGTACGAGATCTTCAGTTTCTTGTCAATTTCTCGCATGGAATAGCCTTCATTTCTCAGAACAAGAATAGACTGACGAGTTTTAGAAGAAAGTTCTTTATTTCTGGCAATTTTGAGCCTGTAATCGAACCCTCAATTGCTGATGCTCCAGATACTCAACTAGTCTCAAGAAGGCCACTTTTATTGCTTCTTTAATCAGCAAAACAGTTTTCAGCTGTGCTAACATAATTGCAAAAGGGTTTTCTAATGATCAATTAGCCTTTGAAAATTATAAACTTGGATTAGCAAACACAACGTGCCATTGGAACACAGGACTGATGGTTGCTGATAATGGGCCTCTGTACGTCTATGTAGATATTCCATAAAATATCAGCCGTTTCCAGCTACAATAGCCATTAACAATGTCTACACTGTTTCTGATCAATGTGATATTTTAATGGACAAGAAAATGTGCTTTTCTTTCGAAAACAAGGACATTTCTAAGTGACCCCAAACTTTTGAACGGTAGTGTATGTATATAAAAAATATGCTATTTGATTGAGACTTTGGGCTCATTGTTGTGTGTAGGAGTGAACATCCGTGTGATTGACCCGTTCACCATCAAGCCCCTGGATGCCGCCACCATCGTGTCGAGCGCCCGCGCCACCGGAGGGAGAATCATCACCGTAGAGGACCACTACAGAGAGGGTGTGTGCTTTTTACAACTTTTTTTTCATCAATTACGTTAATAATAATAATAATAATAATAATAATAATAACTCTTCTGCGTGGGTGGGTTCCCCCTCTAACCCTTCTGTGTCTCTGTCTCCAGGTGGTCTGGGGGAGGCGGTGCTGTCTGCGGTGGGGGAGGAGCCTGGTATCATGGTGACGCGCCTGGCGGTGAACCGCATACCCCGGAGTGGAAAACCTCAGGAGCTCCTGGACCTGTACGGCATCAGCGCCAAACACATCGTCAGCGCCGTGCGCCAGACCTTCGCCAACTAAGACAGTCGTCTCTTCTCTCATCAACTGCGTCCCAAAATGGCACCCTATTTTTCTATATAGTGCACTACTTTTGACCAGAGCCCTATGGGGCTAGTGCACTAGGTAGGGAATAGGGTGCCATTTGGGACTCTTCCCCCCCCTCTCTCTGAAGCCTGTACACATTGACCAACTTCACCTTCTCCATCCCTCTCTCTGCAGTCTGAGGGGAAAGAGGGCTTAAAGCTTTCAGCGTTCAGGGCTCGACCACCCGGTTTATAATCCCCCTTTTTGTAACTGATGTTGATTGAGCGTCACTTTCCAGCTGAAGCATCAATACTGTGGGGTTACATCCCAAATGGCTCCCTATATAGTGCAGTCCTCTATGGGCCCTGGTCACAAGTGGTACACTATATATAGGGTGCCATTTGGGACCACCCTAAGTATAGAGCGAGGTTTGTTTTTTAGTTTGAGCCTGTCATGTCCTCTGCGCGTCCAGACGATATGGACGACGCTGAGCTATCGGTCGGTTTGTTGAGTTTCAAATGAAGCTAAATGTATAGCTTGTTTCCCCGTTTTGCCTCTTTTCATTCCAGATGCTTACAATGTCATCTAGGCTTTTATTCTGTTCATTCCAACCACATTCCATGTGTTCTAATCATTCCACATCACCTGCTTGATCATTCCATGTGTTCTAATCATTCCACATCACCTGCT